TCCTCAACTTGCTTAAAGCCACCTCCAGTTTCTGCATTTCCCCGTCAGTAAGTGCCGGAAAGGCTGCGGGGTTTAATCCTGGAGATGTGTAACTACTTCGGTTTCTGTCCTCTGCCCTGCGACACGTGAAGCTCGGTATTGCTGTAGCGGTGTCACCCCTGGGTGTGGCTGTTGCTGGGGTGGATCTTGCCCGTGGATCTCGCTTGCGGTGCTGCCCTCAGTCCTGACCCGAGCTGAGTTCTCTTTCATTGGGTTACAGCAAACGCAGAAGCGGTGTTACCAGCATTTCCGTGGCTCAGCTGTGAAGCTGGAGTCTTTAGATGCTTTGAAAGTCTTGATGGTCTCTCTTACCTGAAGCGCTCAGTGACAAATCGGGTGTAGCACCATTCAGCTGCCGCTGAAACGCTGACAAAGCAGGAATCATCTAGCCTCTGCCAGACCCGCCTCTTTCTGTAGAAAAATAAACCTTGGCTCGTCTTTCTAACAGCTCAGATCAGGGAGGCTGAAACGTGGCTCTGGATCCCCTCAAATTTCTGCTGCGCCTTTTCTGCTGTTTGGTTGCTGTGAACAGCATCTCTAGGTGACAGCTCCCTCGGCACTGTTAAATTAGCGTTCTCACCCTCGGGGGCCAGGATCTGTGTCCAGCACCAGACCTGGTATTGTTTGGTGTACGTCAGTTTTATTTTCTGATCCCTTCCTGCAGCGAGAACTTTTGTTGTCTCATGCTTGATTATTGCTCCAGCCTTTTCGTCTTGCCCAGCTGTATCTTTGCAGAATGCTGCTGCTGCGCTCTGTCCCCAGCACCCGACAGTGACTCTTCTCTCCATACCTTGTCACATCTACGTGTAGCTTTATTAGACTGTCCCTGCTCTCTGTGTTCTCATTTCACTGCGGTGAAATCAGTTTCTGCCTCTCAGTGGCTCGTGGTGTCAGCCTTCCTTCAGGATATTTCCTGGGTTGAGTTAATTGCAAATGACTCTTTATCAGAGGTTTTAAAAATCAAAATAAAAAGCGGCCCTCCTCCAACCAACAATTAGAAATACACAAACCCCAAAACCTTCTACATGAGACATTATTTTGCTCAATTTTTGAACTTGTACTTAGGTGCAAAATTGAATATTAATGCTTTCCAGGCTTGGAAAGCAAGTATATATTAGCATAATTTCAGGCAGCATCAGAATAGTCCCCTCTCGCCTACTTTAGAGAAAACAGATGTTGGCACATCAGGAATCTGTGCAGAGGAGTTCGCAGCGGGGGAGTGGGGCTCTTTGTTCACCAAGGTGTCAACTCTGGAGTTAAAATCAAAGTAAAATATAAGCCATTTGTTCTGACTCCAGATCTGCTGGCGTAAATATGGGTTCTGCGGCAGGTTCAGTGTGACGGGCTCCTGACAGATCTGAGGTGGGTAGATGTCCCTTCCTGTAGGACGGGATACTTTGGGAAAAATGAGGCACTTGGTGGTTGGAAGTGGTGGTTACAGATCTCTGCAGAAGGCGTGGGAACGGAGCAACTTACTGCCTCTCGTCTCTTCTGCAGCTGGTGTACCCGTATGACTTCAGGCTAACGGAGAAAGAGGTAATAACCCTTTTTTTCTTTTTTATTTCCCCCCCGCTCTGATTTTAAAGATTCTGAGCAGGCGAGACGGAGGTTTTCTTACTGTGTGTTTTTATTTGTTGCAGAAAACTAGTATCTGCTACTTGTCCTTCCCGGACTCCTACTCAGGTAGGTGGCATCTGTTGGCCTTGCCTGCAGCCCGCGGGACGGTTCCTCTCCACCAGGAGGTAAATGGGTTCCTGAGGGGAAGAGTGAGTCACCTAATGCAGCACAGACCGGGGCTGCGTCTTCTAGGACGGTGACATCAAGGAGCACCCAGCCCTTAGGTCTGCACAGAAAGGCTTCCTGACATTCAGGGCGCTCTCTGGAGAGAGCGGCTGCAATCTAGAGGGTGACAGAACAATTTCTCAATCAGCTTGTGCGCTCATGCTTCGCCCTTGCCAAAAGAATGTAAAAACCAGTCACGAGGAGTAGGTTCCCTGAGGTTTGCAGCTGTCGACTGTCAGCGTTTCTGTGTTTGTGAGCGGAGTGCTCAGTGAAGAGAAATAGAGGGGGAGAGGACACTTTCGCAGCATGAGTGTTGCCAAAGCTTGTATTTATAAATCGGAAAGGTGGCTGTAAGAAATAAGCATGTTAATTCATCCCTGTACCTGTTTCTTTAACACTGGCTCCTGGCTGTTAGTTTTCTACAGTTCTGCCCAGTTTAGTTTTAAATTTTTTTAAGGGTGTGCTTCCACTAGGTTCTCAGAGCTTCGTGAACACTCAAGCTAAATGTCCCCTCTGTTGAAGTAAATTATTTACTAACAGTAATATGTTCATAGCACAGTTTTTACTCTTTCCTGGAGCGCAGCGTCGGCAAACAGAGAGAAGGGAGTGTGTCCTCTCACCCTGCAGTAGCTCATTAGTCGGTTTAGCCTTGGGTTTTGTTCAGTGAGCTTAGCGTGTTTAAAGCTTCCCGCATCACTGACCTCTTTGTACGTGCTCAGCCCTGCTCCTTCTGCCCACCCGACCCTTTTTTTCTGATGTACAAAATATTCTCTGTGGAGGGAGTGAGCAGTCTGGGGCAACCTGGGAGGTGCCCGGCCATGGTGCTTGCCCGGGTAATTTGCTAGAACTATTGTGCAGGGGGTTGACATTTAAATTGGTGCTTGTGTGGTCTTGGATTAAGGCTGTCAGTAGGTTTTTGGTCACTGTGGGTGAGAGGTGGTGGCTGCAGCTGCTCAGGCACCCCAGTACAAAAGAACACCTCAATGCAAGAGAGATCTCGAGGGGCTGGAGAGCGTGCAGAGGAGGGCAACAAAGAATAAATCTTATGAAGAATAAATCTGATGAAGAGCGACTGAAGGAGCTGGGGCTGTTGAGTTTGAAGCAGAGGAGACTGAGGGAGCCCTCATGGCTCTGCAACTGCCTGACAGGACGGTGTGGAGAGGTTTGGG